CTGCTTCACCTTAACTGTTAATCAACAGTGAAAGCGTGACATAGCTAGCCTATTAGTAATACTATAGATAGAGTTGGTTAACTTCCGATTCAAACTTATGTAGCATGACATTTTGTCTTTTATGACATATATTTTCACTGAGTGTATTACAAGGATAATAGAGTAAAGATAATTTATGGCAACGGATACTCGTGTTGAAGAAAATTATTCTAAAATGTTTGAGGGTCTTATAATAAACTTGAAGAAGACGTTTTACCAGACTGAGGTTTTAATATACGCTCGATTCGGAGAATGTTTCAGTATATCCAGTTGTGTATTGTATTAACGATTAAGTTATTTTTTTTTCAATCAGTGTAAGTTAAGAAATATTATCTTTTATGAGAAATAATAGTGAGCAGTATTTCAAAAGAGGAAATCCTTATATGGTGTTTGCAACCATAACACCGAAGTTACAAATATTAGATAAAGTTATGTATAATAATACACTTTCAATATTAACGTGAAAAACAATTAAAGCTACGTTCGTATAGAAATACTCGTATATCCGAAAAACAAAAAAAATAATAAACAAACACGATTTTAATGTTACTAATTTCGCTCTATTAATGCGATGATGTCATTTTCTAATTAAAATAGATCGTTTACAAACTCTTTATTAAAAGTGGAATATTTCAAGGTAGATAAAGCCTTTCACATTAGATAGTATAGTTTACTATATTTAAATGAACAATAAAAAATCAACTCTTGTAGACAAAATATTATAGGTATTTTTATTCTGCTACACTCTTAGTTTCTCTTAGTATATGCGTCTGCATTTCTTTCTAATATATATTTTTTAAAGTTTACTATCTTATTTTTTGTAGTTAACATTTGCAAGCAGAATTTTAAGAAATATCAGAATTTGGCACAATAATAACAATTCTTATTTTAAACAATATTTTCACCGTAGGAAATTCATTCAGTGATTTTTATTCATATGACTTTCATTGTCCATTAAAGTTAGACTAATTTTGAATAATTCTATCTATTACGTATAAAACCTTGAATAATTCTACCTATTACGTATAAAACCTTGAACAATTCTATCTATTACGTATAAAATATTGAATAATTCTACCTATTACGTATAAAACATTTTTTTTCATTTAGCTTTACGTAATATATTAATAATATTTTATGTAATTTAACGTTTACTGTCACAAAAACAAAAACGGAATACGTGAGTCATTGATGTCACCTTTTATCAAACAATAAAACTAACCATCAACGCCTTCAGCTATGTTAGTTCCTGTCTTTACCTATCCAACAAAATAATCCAGATTATCAGCACATAACACATTACAAATTGTTTCTTGAGATAAAGATTTTAAAAAAGATATAAATATAGTTTTATCTAGGAAAGTGCATGTTCAAAGTTTTCTTTTTTTCTTTCGTCCTAAATATGATATATAAACATCATTGGTAACCTTACGAGCTCAGAAATAGATACATATACATATTTCATACGGATAGCCTAACTTTTTCCGAGAAATAAACAAAAACTGAATATAGTAGTACTTCAAATGTGGTATAATTAGGATAATTTGGATAAAAATAGCAAAGAATAAGTTTACGTGTCTAAATGAAAAACTTTTATTTTGTGCAACATTTTGGGCAGACGCCCTTAGTCAAGCAGTAAAGACCGTGTTAGAATGGAATAACTCTCACCAAATAACTAGGATAATAACCAGTAATAATAATAATAACAATCTTTCTAAACCCATCATTTGTATGAACAAATTCCAGAACTATTTCATCTCTATTCACGAAAACAGTATAATCATTTGAAGACCTCTTAACCCTAAACCAGATAATTACTTGAAGACCTCTTAAACCTAAACCAGATAATCATTTGAATACCTCTTAAACCTGAACCAGATAATCACTTGAAGACCTCTTAACCCTAAACCAGATAATCACTTGAAGACTTCTTAATCCTAAACTAGATCATCTTTTGAAAACCTCTTAATCCTAAACGACAATCACTTGAATACTTCTTAACCCTTCTTCCTGTGTTCAACACACTGAGATGATTTTGTCACACCAAGGAAGTCTTTAAATGCGACGTTCAATATTGAAACATATTCCTGAATTATACTGCTTGCTTTCGTCTCTCACTTCATCAGTTAGAAATAAATTTTCATCAAGATTAATGCATTGAACAGATAAAGAATCCAAAAACGTTAACTTTTTCCCTTAGAATTCAATGTTTATGATCTTAAGAACACCAAAAACATTAACAGTATAATTAACATTTATTAATTAGGTTTTATACGTAATAGGTAGAATAAATTGTTCAAGGTTTTATACGTAATAGGTAGAATAAATTGTTCAAGGTTTTATACGTAATAGGTAGAATTATTCAATATTTTATACCTAATAGGTAGAATTATTCAAGGTTTTATACGTAATAGATAGAATTATTCAAGGGATAGATTATAAGTGATAGTTATAAGTGGTAGGCTATAAGTGATAGCTATAAGTTATAGACTTTCAGTGATAGACTATAAGTGATAGACTATAAGTGATAGCTTTAAGTGATAGACTATAAGTTATAGCTATAAGTGATAGCTAAAAGTGATAGACTATAAGTGATAGACTATAAGTGGTAGACTATAAGTGATAGCTATAAGTGGTAGACTATAAGTGATAGCTATAAGTGATAGCTATAAGTGATAGACTATAAGTGATTGACTATAAGTGATAGCTATAAGTGATAGACTAGAGGGGAGGCAAATAGCCAACAGCAACTACAGCCAAGTCTTGAGCTGCAATAACCAAATAGTGAGATGTGACCGCCACTCTTATAACGCACATACCACCTCTAAGTGCGGAGCGCGATTTTACAGCAACGGGACGCGAATCGTGGATTTCAATATTCACAATCCCGCATCCTAACAAATAAGACACACCCGGCACGATTATAACTGGATCAAAACACGTGCAAATAGCCCTAATAAAGACTTAACCAAAGTTCAAACAAAATTGAACTCAATTCTATTCTTGTTTACTTTTTCTTTTTACATCACTAGCATTTGAATAGACGATACTGTCGTCAACCTTCTTAAGAATTTTATTGTCTTAAGTATATTTATTTGATGTTGTGACAATAATAGATGTCGCACGATTGATGAGATACGTCATCTCTACTGACAGTTCAGTTCAAATATTCTTTTTTTCCATTTGACGGTTGCTGAAATTTTAAATACAAAGTTAAAGAGAATAACTTGCTGTTATGCTTGAATATAGAATATATTTCCTTCATGGCCGCCGAAGTATCTGTGTGATTATCAATAGTAAACCTTTGTACAATAAGTTGTAAAAATGACATTACTAGACAGATGTGCCGACGACTCGTGCTGTCACGCGCCATTTATCAGCATGGTCAGAAATGTCAGGATCAGGAGAGTAAAATATATATGGGGCATTTGATAAGACCTAAAGCTAGCAGGTGTTTTTCTTCTTCACTTTGTTGTTGTTGTAGTAACCAAACAATATATCTGTCCTTAATATTAGTGCATAGTCATGTACATAGCACTGACAGCTGCACATCGAAGCGTTGCAAGCGAACCACTCTATTTCGTGGTAACAATTCTTGCCTTTGTCTTCAAGTGGAAACCACAATGAATAATTCTATCTATTACGTATAAACCTTGAATAATTCTACCTATTACGTATAAAACCTTGAACAATTTAATTCTACCTATTACGTATAAAACTATAAGTGATAGCTATAAGTGGTAGACTATAAGTGATAGCTATAAGTTCTATCACTTATAGTCTATCACTTATACTATCAATTATAGACTATCAATTTAGTCTATCACTTATAGTCTATCACTTATAGCTATCACTTATAGTCTACCACTTATAGCTATCACTTATAGCTATCACTTATAGTCTATCAATTATAGTCTATCACTTATAGTCTATCACTTTTAGCTATCACTTATAGCTATCACTTATAGTCTATCACTTATAGTCTATCACTTATAGCTATCACTTATAGCTATCATTTATAGTCTACCACTTATAGCTATCACTTATAGTCTACCACTTATAGTCTATCACTTATAGTCTATCACTTATAGCTATCACTTATAGTCTATCACTTATAGTCTATCACTTATAGTCTATCAATTATAGTCTATCAATTTAGTCTATCACTTATAGTCTATCACTTATAGCTATCACTTATAGCTATCACTTATAGTCTATCACTTATAGCTATCACTTATAGCTATCACTTATAGTCTATCACTTATAGTCT